TATGAATCTGAAATTCCACATTGAGCGTTCATCTCTACGGAACCCTTCACTGCCTGATCCGTCACGCGCTTCGCCACTTCTATTCCACTATACTATCATATGAAATGAATTGTGCTGTGCGAATTTAATATAACCCTTTTTACCGTTCGAGAGTAGGTCACAGTCTAACTTAAGCGAAACCCACAGACATATATATATATATGTCTACACAGGTACTATATGTAGACAGGTACTATAACGTTATGTACCGTCATAGGAATAATATATCGATCATATCATAATCTAATATACCGGGCATTAAGCTAACTATAATCGTAATTGTATCGAATCGTAATCACTGCTCACCTGTTTTTAAGTGGTTACTGGAGCCCATAGACATCTACAGCGTAAATGCGCCACCCACCTTGAGATATAAGTTCTAAGGTCTCAAGTATAGTTACAACGGCTGCCCCGCCCTTCAAACCGAAACGCATTACTGCTTCACGGCAGAAATAGGCAGGGTGGTGGTGCCTACCCGCGCGGATTCCCAACAGGTCCTACCACCAGTAAAAATCTGGTTATAGTAATGGATTTTACCGTTGATTGATAACAAAGTACTACGAAACTTTTTTTTTTTATAATTGACGTGGCCCGGAGGCCTTTCCAGTTTCACCAGGACAGGTGGGCGAGCAAAGACTCAGCCAGGAGGGGTGGGATTTGCTAACAGCTACCCGAGCGCCTCCGAAGGAGACTCAACAACTCAAGAGCAATTGCTTGGCGAATGAATCTATTACCAGATCGGAATCGCAACCCGCTGAGAAGATCCAGCGAGAAACTCAGCGGGCTATACGGCATAATAGTACTGTAGAAATATTGTTTTTGTAAACATTTTATAAATTCACATAGATCGTTAAACTGTTTAACGCTATCATTTTTTGCAAATTCCTTACAATACCGTCATTGTCGTTTTCAAGCGAATATCGACCTTAAGGTATCCATACAGTTATGCAGTCGCTTGTACATATGTGCATATATCTATGTACCTAATTACTATTACTGGTTAGATTATACTACTAGTTAAAAAATTATAATTTGCGTAATCACTGCTGGTAGGACCTCTTGGGAGTCCACACGGGGGGGTACCACGACCCTGCCTATTTCTGCCGTGAAGCAGTAATGCGTTTCGCTTTGAAGGGCGGGGCAGCCGTTGTAACTATACCGAGACCTTAGAACTTATATCTCAAGGTGGGTGGCGCATTTACATTGTAGATGTCTATGGGCTCCAGTAACCACTTAACACCAGGTGGGCTGTGAGCTCGTCCACCCATCTAAGCACTAAAAAAAAAAGATTAGTGCTTCGGGCTGTTGATTGTGCTATGACTAGCTTTAATTTAGATGAGGAATGCTTTAGAGAAAAGTCTAAAAATTTTGTTTGTTTATTATTAAGTTACAAAGCTTGAGTCCTCAAAAGAAAATCGGAATTGATAGACGCTTGATCCCGTGCCGGCTAAATGTGGCTTCCCACCTCCGATAGTCGTCGACCTATGTCAAGCCTTATTTGAAGCGAGAGTTTTGCAACAACTGAAATTATTTACCCATTTATATATATTTACACGCCCATATATTTAGCCACAAACAAATATAATTATTATTACTTCACTGTTATTTGATGAGGTGTTTATTTATATGGAATTGAATTTCAATTTGAGTATCGCTTTGGTGTTTGTAAGTTAAAATTTGTATGGCAGCCTGTTATTATGTTGATGTATGGTATTTATATGTATGGTATGAGGTAAAAAGAAAAAAATGTTCAGCTCCATTGTCTCCTTTTTACCTACTATTGGTTTTTGGAACGAAGTTCCTTATCGCGCGTTGTGAAAGGGGGCTAGACGGAAAAAATTCTTACGAAAAGTTGTCACGACACTTTTTAGATCCGTCATTCTGACCAATCAACGTGTAGGCGCTTATCGCGTGACATTGCTCGTATCCGATTAGTCCGCGTAATGAGTACAGTTTCTCGAGATAGCGTTTCAACAATAGTAATTTAGTTCATAGTATTGTTTTTTTCTTCTTCATAATGCCGTAATTTATTATTATAACTTAAAAAAAAAATTACAATTCCTTCACTAATTAATCGAAAGGAACTTCGTTCCATCCGGGTGTCCCTTGACACCTCTGAAGTTTTTTGTTTGTAGTCTCGTTGTTATTTTTTTATTGCTTAGATGATGTTATTGTTGTAATCTACAAAATTGTTGAAGACACCTAGTTTTTTATACCACCGGTTTAGTCAAAAATGTCAATAGCGAAACAAAGGGACCACGTAATCCATAATATGAATATAGGTCTTAAGGTTTCACAAATTAAGGTCGAATTTTAAACGCCGGGCTAAGAGTAATGAAATATTTCATTAAATTTTACTTCGTACGGGTTTTTGTAATTACATCTATAATTAATGATCTCTGATTTTATTAATTACGCACTACCACAAGAAGTATCCAGATGCACCAAAATCATATGCTTAATTATTTAATGTTATTAATTTGTTTTGTTTGCGTAATCAAGAATTCTTCTATCAATCTATCAATGGCTGTTACATTTGCTGTTAATTGGTTATCGGTGCCCATACACAGCCTGAATTATATTACCCACCTTGAAGCATTTGAAGTGTTAATAGTATTGTATAAAGAGGGGAAGGACCTCTTGTGAGTCCGCGCGGGTAGATACCACCGCCCTGCCTATTTCTGCCGTGAAGCAGTAATGCGTTTCGGTTCGAAGGGTGGGGCAGCCGTTGTAACTATACTGAGATCTTAGAACTTATATCTCAAGGTGGGTGGCGCATTTACGTTGTAGATGTCCATGGGATTCAGTAACCACTTAACACCAGGTGGGATGTGAGCTCGTCCACACTTCTAAGCAATAAAAAAAAAAAACGCAATCGTCCACTCTTGATTTTATTTCCTGCGGGATTAGAGCACTGAAAATAGTCGCGTCGCATGACACAAGCATAGTCTTTTCCTTTAGGCCACGACGACACAAATCACTTGTACAATAAACGTCTCTTACGAAGAACCAATTCAGTACAAAAGCACATCTTTTATTTATAGCATGGTAACTAATTACGTCTGGATCCTATTACAGTTCCGGATGGGTCGGCACACAATAGGACTGCCCACCCCTGACCTCGACGTCGGTAATATTTTATCTTGCCGAAGGTTTATTAAAAATTAAGGTATGTTATGTTATGGAATTGAGATCAATTATTTGATTTAGTGAATTGGTTGTTTGCATGAGTCTACTAGGCTCACCACAGACCTTGAGAAGTGGCGATTGCTCATGAGGCGCATAGCATCTGCCCACAGCAATGATGCCGAATGACAACCACAACCGCTTTGGCACGAGTGATACGACAAGGTATTCAACTAGTTTTCTTTACCTGCAATTAATTTTTATTGTAAACAAGCCGATGATTTTTCCATCTTCTGGTATTAATTTGGCGCGGGGTCAATAGCAACACAACGTGAGACCCGCCCCCCAAATTTTATTTATATATTTTTTAATTGCCGTTGTAGGCAGACAAGCACACAGTCCACCTGACAGTGAATGGTTACCGTCGCCTATGGACTTCAGCAATGCCAGGGGCAGATAAGTCGCTACCTACATTAAATACTCATTGAACTATAAGGCTTATTACTGGTGGTAGGACCACTTGTGAGTCCGCACGGGTAGGCACTACCATCTTGCCTATTTCTGTCGTGAAGCAGTAATGCGTTTCGGTTTAAAGGGTGGGGCAGCTGTTGTAACTATACTTGAGACCTAAGAACTTATATCTCAAGGTGGGTGGCGCATTTACGCTGTAGATGTCTATGGGCTCCAGTAACCACTTAACACCAGGTGGGCTGTGAGCTCGCCCACTCATCTAATCAATAAAAAAAAAAGAACTATGAGGTGGAGGTCTCAGTCAATTGAATAATGACGTCAATGTTTATGATATTCTATCACGTTCTATTTGAACTTGGTGTCTATTTCCGGTAGTGAAACAGTCAGTGAAGCTTATTACCGATTAATAAAATAAACATTCAGACAATATTCCGCCCCTAAGTTGATCTAGCTTTGTAAATAAGTGGCATGTCTTTTTTTCCCCTACCTATGCTCGTAGCCTGAAAGAGCTATGCCAGCGTTATCGAACGAGTAGATGAGCTCACGGGGCTTTAACCTGAGGACATTGCTAACACTAGCCCTAGCAAGAGCTTCGCAGAATCTACCACCGGATCGAAAACGCGACCCACTGAGAAGATCCGGCGAGAAACTCAGTGGGCTGTGTCTGTGGGTTAATTTACTCGTCGAACCCTTAGGTTTAATGCAATTCTAAAAATTGATGGAATTTGTAAGATCGTGTTTAAAGTTTCTCGGTTTAAGTGTATAAGTACAAGACCATGATTTCAGCATTATATGTAATAATAATGTTTTTAATTTTTTATTGCTTAGATGGTTGGACGAGCTCACAGCCCACCCGGTGTTAAGTGGTTACTGGAGCCCATAGACATTCACAGCGTAAATGCGCCACCCACCTTGAGATATAAGTTCTAAGGTCTCAAGTATAGTTACGACTGCCCCACCCTTCAAACCGAAGCGCATTACTGCTTCACGGCAGAAATAGGCAGGGTGGTGCTACCCACCCGCGCGGACTTAAGAGAGGTCCTGCCACCAGTAATTAGTATTAATCATTTACTCAATTCCCTTACCGCTGATCATTAACATTAAAAACTTGAAAATCTTATGTAGACAAGTGGTGGAAAGTTTTATGGAGGTATTTAGTTCTTCCAGAAATGATGTAATTTGTGAATGCGATTGATTGATGACAGTGTAAATAAGGTCCGCGTAAAACATTCACGAGCCATACAACAAAGCTCATATTTAAACCAGTGCCGTCACTCTGTGAGTGCGACTGTTTTCCGGGCGACCTCAGCGCAGGTTTTCCACCATCCACATTTCAGTCATCGTTTGAGAGTCGGAGGGCGCACACGCGGCGATCATCTCTAAACTCTCGGAACGTAACACTTAATTTTTTAGTTCAAATAAAATATAATGTTGTATTCATATTTTAAAGTTGTTTGATTGGTTTCGTGTAGAGTCAGTCAGTTTTTTGTTGTTGTCGTGAGTGTGTGTGTTTTGTTGACAGTAAGTTTAGTCGTAAACTTTTTTATTCGTGTTTAAGCACTTGACCTGCGTTTACAGCTGACATCTTTACACCGGGATGTAAATGTGAGTAATTAATGATTTTTAAGGCTATTTTATGAGCGTTTGGACTTAATGAAACGTATTCATTTAGAAAGAACATTCATACAGTTTCAGGACTACTGTAGGAAAATCTATACGTATTTTGATAAGCTTCATCGTTGTACAAAGAAGGAATTGCCTACTGTTTTTCAAAATGTTGGGCACGGAGAAGGGATGCTCATTATAATTAAATCTAAATAAAATAAAGCAAAAATAAAATCAAGTGTGCAATGCTTCCTCGAACTACTTTTACTACTGTTTTTCTTCAGATGGCATAATCCCTATTTTAAGTAGTGATGGTGAGCATATTTTAAATGCACGAGGAACTCTCCTACTTATCAGCTGCTTGCATTTGAGTACATACCAAAAAAAACCTATAGAGTTGTAGATAAACCTGATCTCACAGGTAGCCCGGTTCCAAAGGAATCCGCCATATCCTTTTTACCAGCCCACCTGCAGTGGTGCCCACCTGCAAGTCGTCGTGGCCTAAAAGATAAGACGTCTGGTGTATCCATTCGGATGTAGCGATGCAACGGTGGTCTAGTCCCGCCGGCAGGTATCAACTTTTCTAATGAAATACGTACTTAACAAATGTTCACGATTGACTTCCACGGTGAAGGAATAACATCGTGTCATAAAAATCAAACGCGCAAAATTTTATTTAATTCATTAAATTTACTTTAATTACTGCTGGTAAGACGTTTAGTGAGTTCTTACGGGTGGGTAGCACCACCCTGTCTATTTTTGCCGTGAGACAGTAATGCGTTGCGGTCTGAAGTGCGGGGCAGCCGTTCTACTGTAAAAACTGAGACTTAGAACTCATGTTTCAAATTGGGTTGTGGCATTTACATTGTGGATGCTCCAGTAACCATTTAACACCAGGTGCGCTGTGAGCTCATCCAAATAAAGCAATAAAATTTTAATAAATAAAAAGTCGTCAGAGTAAAGTTAGTTCAAACTGTGTGGAACTGCTTTGTGCATAGAAACCTTCATATTCTGAGGTCCTTAGATGACCAAAGCCACGATTGGCAAGGGTAGACGGCATCATCTTACCGCGAAGAAATTATCCGTTCGAAGGGTCTAATGTGGACAGATCTCGATACTCTCATATATAATTTAACAAGTAATACTGCCTCACTCGCACTTGGAGTTGAGTACTTGAGTACGGCGCACTTGTACCAGTAATAATTGGAGCCCATGGGCGTTTCAAGACGAATGCTATCACGAAACTTGAGACATTCAAGTCTATTTTGTATTGTATTGTATAAAGGCTGCATCATCCTTCCACCGGAGCACATGGATGAACGCGGCAGACGGTCGTACCTGACGTGTGGGCTTACCATCCGCACTTTTTTATTTCGGGCAGGGAGTCAAACCTCATAAGAGGTGTCCACGCCTGAGGTGCCCGCAGGGTATGTGGGACTTGACGGTCTGTAGATGTTAGGAGCAGACCGTGGGCCCAAAGATGTCTTAAAGCTCTATTACCACTGTTTTAAGGCTCCACCTCACTCCCTCCTAAGCCACTCACCTTGCTCTCTATCATCCCGCGTCCAATCTCCGTCTGGGTTCGGGAACCGGGCAGAGTAGTAGAGGTGTTCCCGCGATTAATACTACAACCAGACTCGCGGCGTCACCCTGAGTACGTCCGAGAAGTCGTCGAGGCGATTGTCGACGAATACCGTCACGGTCCCCGCGGCCCCTACGATAGTCTGTCAGGCCGCCCGGGCGATGTCGCTGGTGTTTCGGGATACCCCGCTGGGTCAAAACCAGTCACTTTCCACACTAGCAAAAATTAATAATGACATAAGGAATAATTTTGAAAAGTCTGCGGGTTTGTTTTCATTACATTTCATTACATTTTATTATTTTTCGGTAGTAGATCGCGAACACGGCGCGTAAGGCAAGGCACGTATTTCTATTACACAAGTCGATACCTGCTTGCGGGATATTAATTTCAGCACCGCTGTATCTCTCGATCCACCGGGCGACACACTCGACACTCTCTCCTATGTAGTTCTATTCTTGCTAAGATGACTTCAATAATCATAATTGATATGTGCAATGTTTGCATGCGAACGTAAAGTACATACTCAGAACTTGGGGTCACATAATAGAGTATATTTAATACGCTTTTATTAGTTTCATACGTATCTTAGTATGTAACGGATCATTTGAACATGATTTTAACCCCCTTCAAAACGTGTTTGTTAGTATCTTACGATACTTTTTTTAATTGCCTTTGTAGGCAGACGAGCATACGGCCCACCTGATGGTGAGTGGTTATCGTCGCCCATGGACTTCAGCAATTCCAGAGGCAGAGTCATAGGCAGAGGCAGAGTATAACGGTAGGCAGCGGCTGGACAAGCTGCCTACCGTTATACATAACAAGGAAACAGGGACACAGGAAAAAAAATCTACCTTTGCAAATATTATTAAGTGGTCATTCAAATTAACAAAACAAATTGGCAATTCAACCGCTGTCTTTCTTGACTCTCGAGGAAATTTTGTTACATTCTTTCATTCACCGCACGGCCTGGTACTCGATACCGCGGTCCTCACTATTTCCGCTGCTCATCAGATATTACTTGCGGTTCGCAAATAGCCTTTGTGAAGTAGAATGGAAACTTGTGAATCTCTACAGGTAAGTTTGTAGTTAACCCAAGCGACTAGGTTGGACGTACGGACGTTTTCTTTTTTAATGAATACGATTTCGACTATATAAATCAAATTGTAATATTTTTTACTAATATTTTTACTTGCTTTGGAATGGGCTACCCTGCTCGGTGTTTCCTGAGCGCTATATGTCCTTCTTCAAACGAGGCTTGTGGAAAGTACTTAACGGTAGGTAGCGGCTTGGGTCTGCCCCTGGCATGGCTGACGTCCGTGGGTGACGGTAACCACTAACCATCAGGTGGCCCGTATGCTCATCTGCCTGCAAGAGCAATAAAAAAAAAACAAAAAAAAACTTGCACAATTATGTTAATTACGGTTTATGGGGCACACTAGTGAACCCGCCCTAATAACTAATTACCGCCGATTGTTAGATGCGTCGTGAGCTGCCCATACGTTACAGTAAAATTGATTGGATTGAACTCCGTGGTCATTTCTCAAAGTGCATGGCAGCTTTCACATCGCACGTCCTCGCTTACGAATGATAAAAACACGACATCTAAATTCACAGCTCACCGTTACGTAGCAAACTGGAGTTTTAGAGATCAGTTCCAATATAAATGTATACAGATATTTCTATCCAACTCCGCCGTCATTTCTGAATACATCAAACGGAAGTCTTGAAAAAGAAAAAAAAAACGTAGCCGATGACACGGAAAAATAAATCGTGATTCGTTTCCGATATCAACGCTTTTCGCGTTCGAAGCCATTTTTTTTTTGTCTTTGGGACATTTGACCTAATATCCGACGTGATAATAAGGTGTACTACCGACAAACTGTTTTTGGGTGTACATGAGATGATGAGCTCGCCTCCTGCGCCGTTTACCAGGTGCTGAACGGTTACTGGAATCCGTAGACGCCTTAACTGTATTGGATGATGTCAAACAGGATACGCGAGGAAAGGGTCCGTATGTCGAAGCCGAAAGTGCTAAAGAGTCGGATAGCAGCAAGAAAAAGAAGGCAGCATCTTGAAAGCAAAAACGAAAGTACCAAATGCTTTGATAAAGCTTCACATTGCACTGGAGTATTTAATAGTAAGACAGCGGGCGTCGGCTTGCTTGGCCTCACAAAACGCCATACCAGTTAATTATTCTCTAAACTTAACTTATATACATTTTATCACGGCTACCCCACCCAGCCCTCATACGAAACAATTGAGATATATGTAGATGGGTGAAAACATTCACTTAACATGAGCTTTTTTACCCAACAATGCGATAAAGATGTCGCTTTGAGTCTGTGAAATATGTTAGTTGCAGTTAATTACTTAAGGCGTGCTTAAGCAATTATCTATCAAACAAAGAATAACATAAATCTAATTAATAGAACTCCAACATTTTGTGAGCCTGCAAGGACCACTGTTGAATGTTCCTGTCGCGAAGAGATCGAGTACTGAGGCTATTCCTTATTCCAATTCTGGACCTCATGTCTCAAAGTACGTGGATGGTATATCGTTTTTTTTATTGCCTCATGGTAAGTGGTTACCGTCGCTCATGGATGTCAGCAATGCCAGGGGCAGAGCCAATCCACTGCCTACCGCTTAATACTCTCCACAAGCCTCGTTTGAAGAAGGACATGTCATAGCGCTCGGGAAACACCGTGGAGGGGAGCTCATTCCAAAGCCGGATGGTACGTGGCAGAAAAGATTTCTGGCAACGCACTGTGGATGACCGCAGTGGCTCCAGGTAGTATGGATGAACTCTACTCCGGTGGCGGGCGGTGCGATACTAAAAACATGATGATGGCATCATCTCAAACAGTTCCTCGTTGTGTTATTATTAAACAATTGAATTTGTATTTCTAGTAATGATAGCAAAATAAACTGTGAGCAAAGCCTGGATTTCAAACTTAATTGACCAGAGGCTTAACTGAGCAAAATCTTTTTTGTATTTGCATATCCAATTTGAATATTAAATTTAATGTTGCATTAATTCTGAGTAAAATGACGTTCTTGACAGGGTTTCAGTGATGAACATATCAGAAGATGGCTTCTTGTATACAAATAATAATATTCTCTGTCAAGAGCGGCATGTGTAAATAAATGTCTCCGAGTTCAAAGGCTACGGAATCGTATTGAGAGTGTGGATTATATTACAAAGCTGATACATTGATTGAGTTCAAACCTTTATTGATATTACTGGTGGTAGGACCTCTTGTGAGTCCGCATTCTGCCTATTTCTGCCGTGAAGCAGTAATGCGTTGCGGTTTGAAGGATGGTGCAGCAGTTGTAACTATACTTGAGACCTTAGAACTTATATTTCAAGGTGGGTGGCGCATTTTCGTTGTAGATGTCTATGGGCTCCAGTAACCACTTA